CAGATGGGAGTCACTGTTTCGGTACCTGGTCCCCCCTCCACCTTCTCCACATCCACTCAGATTCAAAACCACGGTTTCAAGGTTATACGTAACCTGGGGTGTGTGCTAATTTTAGCTTTGCCTTTAATGTTAAATTGCTTAGGTTCTAATTCTTCTTCCCATGCACATTAAAGCAATATGTTTTATGTAAACTGGCATTTCTTAACCCCAATGTTTCAAAATGCTGACAACGGCTCTTTAATCCGCTCAAGTGATGGTTTTAAGTCAATTAATCACTATGGTTTCCTTTTTTTTTTTTTTAACAAAAGACAATCAGTCAGGTCTCTGGCTACAGCTCATACCTAACTCCCAAATCTTCTTCTTTAAGAGAAAAGCATGCTTTTTTAAAAAGCAGAGGGAACATAGCGATTTTCCTCCCGCAAGACTCCCCGACTGGACAGCAGGCCACCGCGGTCTATTCTTCCAGTCACTCCGCCCTTTCCCAGTTTCTGGGCTATTCCGAAATCCCATTAATCCGCTCGGAGCGCATTTATGACCCAGGACGCACATTAATCAGTGACGCTGAGTTGCTGGCTCACAGCTCTGCCTGCATTCTCTGCCACATGCAACCTAATGTACATCTTCCCAGAACTTCTGTTCCAATTATAGCACACCCTCCAAAAAGTTCAACTGCTTTTCTGGCTTACACTGCAATTCTTTTCAACACGCCAAACAAAAAAGCCTTCACCAGCTGCTTTGAGAGGGGAGCAAAGTAAAGTCAAAACTGTCCAATTTTGACATTTCCTGGCATCATTCCCATTAAATGAACTTTAGCTCTTAGCTATCCACAAATGATAAGGTCATATAATAGGAAACTTAGGACTCAAAGCAAATGGCTTGAAGTTTATAATCAAAATCCTTGTCCTGAGGCAAAAGCATTTGGCAAAAGTGACTATAAGCAAATATCCTACTTCCCTTAGTAACGACATATACGGAATACACTTACCATGCCTATAACTTTTATATAAATAACGTCTTTTCACTGTGTTCTCCCAATAAAACTTAGATGTGCATTTCTTTTTTGAGCAAAAGAACACCACAATTCACACAAACGCAGACAAGAAACACTCCTGTAGAAGTGAACCAAAACCAAACCCACTGCTCTCGAGCCAATTCCGACTCATAGCAACCCTATAGGACAGAGTAGAACTGCCCTATAGGGTTTCCAAGGAGTGGCTGGTGGATTCAAACCGCCAACCTTTTGGTTAGCAACCGAGCTCTTAACCACTGTGCCACTAGAGCTCCGCAGAAGTGAACAGTACACTATAAATCTGAAGATTCCAAGATGAGGGATATAACAAGATAGTACCGGAGAGAACATACTTTTCAAATCAACATTCTTCCCACAACACTTAAGGAGATTCTGTTTAGGAGGCTCAACATATCCATACCCTGAATGCTCACTGCTGCTAACAAAATTATAATTGTATCAACCTTAAAAACCCATTGCCGTCGAGTCGATGCCAATTCATAGCGACCCTATAGGACAGAGTAGAACTGTTCCATAGGGATTCCAAGGAGTGGCCTGCGGATTTGAACTGCCAACCTTTTGGTTAGCAGCCAAGCCCTTAACCACTGCGCCATCAGGGCTCCAGATATCAAGGAAACATATATTACTATCAAAAAAGCAGCAGACACCAAACCTCCAAAGTGCCAAGATGGTGGTGGTGGTAAGGGGGGATGCACTAGAACTGTTAGACAGCCATGTTTTTTACACAAAACAATCTGTCAGTTTTATCTTAGCCCTCATTCAAGATGGCTCCACTACCGTAGTATTGTTGTTCTTGTTAGCTGCTGTCGAGTCTATTCCAACTTATGGCAACCCACTGTGTGAAGAGTAGAACTGACCCATAGGGTTTTCAATGGCTGCCAGGCGGCCAGACCTTACCTCCAAGTTGCCCCGGTTAGGTTCCAACCACCAACGCTTTGGTTAGTGGTCCAGCTTCGCGCCATCCAGGACTCCTGTGGTACGTAGTGTTACCTGTTGCCGTGGAGTCGATTCCGACTCAAAGCGACCCTATAAGACAGAGTAGCACTGCCCCACAGGGTTTCCAAGGACATAACTGTAAGGTGATTTCACCCAGTAGGAAAACCACTCTAACCCCCACCAAGACAGAGTGAACACTAAGATCAATGAAACTGGCCCATCTGTTAGATAACTCAGACAGAACCTAAACGACAAGGAACTGTATCAGGCGATCACTCACACGTCTCGGCCTCCTCTGAGGACTGGGATAACATATGTCACCATGACTCTCAAGCACAATACAGATTTCTTGAACATTATCTGTGGATTTCTCGAGCACGCTGAGCCCCCATCCCTACCTGGCCTTGCGAGGCGTATCAGAGAGACATACACATCGTGACAATCTCTCTCCTGTGGTATGACCAGCTGTACAATCTGAAAGTTCTTGCAGCGAACGAGCAGAGGGCATCCAGTAGCAGTCGTTGCCTGCTTTTCAATCGTAGAAATCTGACTGTGAAGAATCTAGAAACAAAAGTTAGTAATGATAAACGGAGCACACATAACTGGTAAATACCACAAGGGGTAACACATAGACAAGAAACGCTCCCTAACCCTCAGCACCTGCACTCAGATGACAAGAAATGAGACGTTCTGTGTAAGAACCAACTGTCCAAACGGATCCTTTCATCTTCCAATCGCAGGCTCTCTGACGTACAGGCTAATTACGTAAAAGCAAACTATTCAGCATATATTTTTGCATCCATCCAGGTAAGGGAACATTTTGGGAGCTGAATGCTGAACACACTTAATAGCTAAAATGAAATAAGGTCATGAGAAACCAGTAAAACAAACCTTTGCAATCAACAAAGGTCAGAGAAGACTCCGTGGGGACAGGCCACCATGCTCCTCAAGTCCACACAGGATGCTCAAGTTCAGAAACAATGTGGGTTTGTTGTTTTCCAAGCTGTTGGTGGTCTCGCAGATTGCAGAAGAGATTTGTTTTAAAAGAGATCATGCTGAAGCACATCTCCCTGGCGTTCCAGGAGGGTCTCTGCTCAATCCTCAGTGGCAGCACTTCACCATTTACATTTTCTCCCCCTGTGTAATGCCTAAGGAACCCTGGTGGTGCAGTGGTTAAGCGCTCGGCTGCTAACCAAAAGGTCGGCCGTTCAAACCCACCAGCCGTTCCTTGGGAGAAAGACCTGGTGATCTGCTCCTGTAAAGATTACAGCCTAGTTCCACCCTGTCCTAGAGGGTCACTATGAGTCGCAACCGACTCGACGGCAATGGGTTTGTAGTGACTGCCACCTCCTGCTAAAAACGCAACCGTGTTCCTGGGATATGGAAAGCTAAAAATCTATACTTCTGGGATTCTGGTTCCGGTGATAATGTCCTGATTGGTTTGTTAGACAAAATAAGACATATGTAATGGTCTCATGGTTAGTATCACAAATACACGCTGATGGGGCTCTTCCTTAGCTTTTCTTTTTTGAATCTACCAGAAAAATAGAGAGAACATAATAAAATGACGAAATGGCCTTCATTATAGGAGCCGATGAATTATCAGCTCTAAAGTGTATGCAAAAAAGTACAACGTAGCCCAAAAGAATCGAAAGCAGAAAGACAGACACATGCACGCCAATTTTCACTGCAGCACTACTCAAAAGAGCCAGAAGGAAGAAACAGCCCAAATGGCCATCCACAGACGAACGGATGAAAAAGGACCATGGAAATGTTTTCTGTAGCGTACTGGTATTACTGGATCTCTATTTGATAGCTGTGACATGAAGCATTTGGTTCTTCTGGCTCTTTCTAGTGCATTCTTTGATACTGTTTGTTATGGTCTGAATTGTGTTTCCCCCCCCTGCTCCCCACCCCCCAAAAATATGTGTTATAAATGCTAACCTCTATGTCTGTGGATGTAATCCCACTTGAGAATAGGGTTTTATTATGTTAATGAGGCTGTATCAGTGTTGGGTGTGTTTTAAGCCAATCACTTTTGAGATACAGAAGAGCAGATGAGACGCAGAAGAAAGGAAGCACAAATGAGGGAAGACAGATGCCACTCCACAAGAAGATCGCCAAGAACAGGAGAACGGAAGCTGAGAAGAGACAAGCGCCTTCCCCCAGGGCCAACAGAGAGACAAGCGCCTTCCCCCAGAGCCAGTGCCCTGACTTCGGACTTCTAGCCTCTTAAACAGTGGGAAAATAAAGCTCTGTTCATTAAAGCCACCCGCTTGTGGTATCTCTGTTACAGCAGCATAACCTGCACAAGTAGATCAAGTAGATTAGTCGACAGAAAAAGGCAAACAAAGCTCACGTCCCAGAAGCCGTCTGAAATCCCAAACACCAAAAGCTCACCTGCTTCACCGGAAGGACAAAGAAAAAGAGTGAAGGATCAAAACATTTTATTTCAAATGTAAGAAAAAACATGTAAGCCAAAAATAAGGAAAACATACCCACGTTTCTTTTCTTGTGTCAGATGCATTTTCCACGAATATGATATGAGTAGCTGTCAAATACAAAGTCCCTAGGACCGCTTTTTTAGAAGATACTCGGTCTACCAGGCGGACATTTTCAACCTAGAGAGATCAGTTGGACGGAAAGAGTTATAAAAATGCAAAAGAGCTATTCACAAAAATAAATAAATAACAAGGAAACAATCTCCTGTTTGCTTCAAAATATACTCTTGAGATTTCTCCAATAATAAAAACCAAAACTTGTCCCCTTAAAATTCATTAGATCTCAGAATATGGTCCCCAAAAGTTAAAAATCCACCAATTACTGAAAATTGCCATTAAAAGTACCACAAAAGATTTACAGAATCTGTCCTCTAAGATACCCTCTCTTGGTTTTAAATGTTGTGCGCTCTCTAATCGATTCCGACTCATGGCGACCCTGTATGACAGAGCAGATCTGTCCCCATAGAGTTTCCTAGGCTGTAGTCTTTATAGGAACAGATTTCCGGGTCTTTTCTTCTGCAGAGTAGCTGGTGGGATCGAACCTCTGACCTTTCAGTTAGCAGCTGAGGGCTTAACCAGTGTGCCACCAGGGCTCACTGGGTTTTAAAAAGGTCACCATTTTCATTTCATTGTAATTATATAAAATTTATAATTTAAGGCAGAAAGTTTATGCATCAAAGCTCTGAGTTTACACAATCACTATATACGTGTTCTGTGAAAAAGAAAAATATTTTTTTCTACGTGTTTCTCGATAGTCGAAACGGCCTCGAAGCTGTCTGCTTCTACATCAACTAGTCTTTATTGTTAGTTGCCTTTGAGTCGTTTCTGACTCATGGTGACCCCGTGTGTGCAGAGTAGAACTGCTCCATAGGGTTTTCAAGGCTGTGACCTTTCCGAAGCAGATCACCAGGGCTGCCTTTCGAGGTGCCTCTGGGTGGGTTGGAACTGCCAACTTTCAGATCGCAGTTGAGCACTTAACCGTTTGCTCCACCCAGGGACCTTATATCAGCTAGTAGGAAATACAAATATATAGGTGGGAGAAAAAAGTATCTAAGAAACGTTCTGCGTGTTTACAAAGAAAACCTACCAAATTAAGACCTATGCGTTCATTTATACTGGAAATCATTTAGAATAATTCGTAATAAAATCTCTCTAATAAATTCAGTTCTTACCACTCAGCTAAAGTTTAAACCGTTAAAAGAGAAACAACTTTTTCTAGAAACAATTTTTTCATCAAGCAGACATCCCTTACATGCAGAGCAATCTCAAGAACATGTGCACTGAGATCATTCCAACATGAAATGTAATAGAAATAGCAAGACAATGTCTACAGAGCAATGTAAAAAATGAAGCAATGATGTGGTGGCGAAGCGGACCACCAGAACCACCAGATGGACATTCCTGGAATGACCAGCGGGCTTAGCAATGCTGTCACTGCCGAGCATCAGACAGACACTGGCTCAACCCTCATCCCTCAAATCAGGATGGTTATGTCCTTCCATGAGGCAGTTTAGGGACTAGTGCATGGCATTTGCTCCATGCTTCAGTGTAATACACAAGCTGTGGTCCTGGTGTAGTTTGGGGGAGACACAGGCTTCTCATCTGCTCCCAGAAAGCCCAGGGGAACATTAGACTAACCAACACTCCTCCGGCGCCAAAAGCAAACAGCACTAAGAAGTCCTGTAGTCATAGAATTTACTCTTGGGTGGCTGTGAAATTCCTGAGGCCTTCTCAGAGTCGATGTACATAAAGACATCCATTCCACAACAGTGCCCCTAACCTACCAACTCTCAAACCAAGGCGAGGACAGGAGACATGGTGTGAAATCACGTGTTTGTGATTTGCCGAAAAGAACAGAGAATTTCTGGTAGGGAATAACCTAATTTAGGGCAGAGAACCTTAAGCTAGAAAATAGTTTTCAAAAATCAAAATTAGACTAGTAAAATAAATTACCAGGAGAAAAGAACAGGTTTTAGAAGGATAAAACTTATAATGAATGTAGAGTGACGTTACTGTTATCAAAATAATGAAAAATATTATGTTGTTGTTAGGTGCCATCAAGTCAGTTCTGACTCATAACCACACCATGAACAACAGAAAGAAAACACTGCCTGGTCCTGAGCCATCCTCACAATCGTTGCTATTTTTGAGCCCACTGTTGCAGCCACTGTGTCAATCCGTCTAGTTGAGGGTCTTCCTCTTTTTCACTGACCCTTTATTTTACTAAGCATGATGTTCTTCTCCAGGGACTGGTCCTTCCTGATAACATGTCCAAAGTACTTGAGAAGAAGTCTTGCCATTCTCACTTCTAAGGAGCATTCTGGCTATACTTCTTCCGAGACAGATTTGTTTGTTCTTCTGTCAGTCCACAGTATATTCAATATTCTTCACCGACACTATAATACAAAGGTATCAATTCTTCTTCAGTCTTCCTTAGTCATTGTCCAACTTTCGCATGCATATGAGGCAACTGAAAATACCATGGCTTGGGTCAGGCGCACCTTAGTCTTCAAAGTGACATCTTTGCTTTTTTAACACTTTAAAGAGGTCTCTTGCAACAGATTTGCCCACTGCAATATGCCATTTGATTTCTTGACTGCTGTTTCCATGGGCACCGATTGTGGATCCAAGTAAAATGAAATCCTTGACAATTTCAATATTTTCTCCATTTATCATGATACTGCTTATTGGTCCACTTGTGACAATTTTTGTTTTCTTTATGTTGAGGTAAAAATCCATACAGAAGGCTGTAGTCTTTGATCTTCATCAGTAAGTACTTCAATTCCTCTTTGCTTTCAGCAAGAAAGGTTGTGTCATCTGCACATCACGGGTTGCTAATGAGTCTTCCTCCAATCCTGATACTGTGTTTTCTTCATATAGTCCAACTTCTCTGATTATTTTCTCAGCATACAGATTAATAAGTATGGCGAAAGGATACCATCCTGATGCACATCTTTCCTTAATCTACATAGTATCCCCTTATTCTCTTCGAATGACTGCCTCTTGGTCTATGTACAGGTGCCACATGAGCCCAGTGAAGTGTTCTGGAATTCCCATTCTTCACAATGCTATCCATAATTTATTATGATCCACACAGTTGAATGTTATTGCATAGTCAATAAAAAACAGGTAAACATCCTTCTGGTATTCTCTGCTTTCAGCCAAAATCCATCTGACATCAGCAATGATATCCTAGGTTCCATGTCCTCTTTTGAATCTGGCTTGAATTTCTGGCATGTCCCTGTCGATATACTGCAGCAACTGTTTTTGAATTAATATATAAATAATAAATTATATATTTCAACAAATATAATCTTATAAGCTGAAAGTTACCCCAGAATGAGTGCTACTCAAAGCAAGTTGAGAATTATATATACGGAGAACAAAAATTTACCCATAGTAAGTGACAGAATGAAGAGCAAGAGAGTTGTGTTTCAAAACGAGGTAGGTAAAAATAACATGGACCATAATTCTATTTCATTAATAGCATTCTTAATTATAAAAAGAGCAAATGTCTACCTTGTGTTTTACAGAAGAGAAATATATATGTATATATATTACTCGTAAGACCAAGACTAGAAGATAGCATACTGATACATGTCTTTCTAGTATTTTCTACACTATATATATATTTTTTAAACCTAAAAATGGGATATAGAGTCACAGAATCATGCTATTTAAAAGCTATTGGGATTTTTATTCCATTTAAAATATTTCGTGAGCACTTTTCCGTGTAATTAAGTGGATTCCTAAAAATATTATGGCTGCAACATAATTTACTACATGTTAATACTGTTTCTAATTTTCATTATTATTAACAATTCTGTAACGAAAATCCCTGAGGCCAAATGTTTGCACACAGCTATAATTATGTTCATAGGACTAATTTCCAGAAGAAGAATTTAATGTTATTCATTGCAAAGGCATTGCTAAGCCAAACTCTTGGAACTCTGAAATCAATTTTCATGCTACAAATTGTGTATGCCCAGGTCCTCCTACCCTTCCCAACACTGCATCATCTTCTTATTGTTTGACTCTTTGACCAAAGGAGAAATAAAAGAAAATTTATGTTACGGTTTTTAAAAGTTATTTCTTTTGTTACTGATACGCTACACATTCTTTCATATTCTTATCATTTGTGTCTTGTGAAACGTCTTCAATCATTGGTTTATTTTCCTACTGGGTGACTATCTTTTCTTACATACTTGTAAGAACTCTATATAGTAAGGAGAGTGCACTATGGTTTAATTTTTGTATGTGTGTTTTATAACTGCCCTTTTACTTTTCATTGATTCTAATAATTTTTTCAGTTAAGTCTCTTGGATGTACTGAGTAGATAGGACAGGAATACTGTCTCTTCCTTTCTAGTAGTTATAGCTTTTTCCCCCTTGTTTAATGGCATTAACTAGATTAATCTTGTTTAACAGAATTAATCTTCAGAGTAACAGTAAATAACAGTGAAGATAACAGACACCTTGTATTTTTTTGCTTGCTTGCTTGTTCAATAACAGCTTTACTGAGGTATCACTCACATACCACACAATTCACCCATTTAAAGTGTATAATTCAATGGTTTTTAGTATAGTCACAGCATTGTGCTTATTAGGAGCCTTGGCGGCACAGTGGTTAAGAGCTTCGCTGCTACCCAAAAGGTCAGCAGTTCGAATCCACCAGCTGCTCCTCGGAAACCCTGTGGGGCAGTTCTGCTCTGTCCTATGGGTCACTGTGAGTCAGAGTTGACTCCACGGCAACAGGTTTATTGTGCATATTATCCCTGTGCAACTATCACTGCAATCATTTTTAGAATGTTGTAAAGTTTCTTTTCATCATCCCCAAAAGAGATTCTGTACCTATTAGCAGTCACTCCCTAGCTTATCCCTGGGCAGCCATCAATCTGCTTTCTGTCTCTGTGGATTTATCTATTCTGGACATTTCACATAAATGGAGTAACATTAACATGTTATACTCGTGACTGGTTTCTTTCATTTAGGATGATGTTTTCAGTCCAAGTTCATCCATGTGTGGCATGCATCATTTTTTTTTATTGTGGTAAAATATATATCTATATATAAATCTCTGTCATTCCAAACATTTTTATGTGGACAATTCAGTAACATGAT